TTCCAGCCCAGGCCAGTCTCCACCTCAAGGAGTGACTTAAGAGACTTGGAGTCCCCACACCCAAAGCCAGCCCTTCTGGTGAAGGCAGGCATGGTGGGACCTCAGTCCCAGGCTGTCCCAGCCATCAGGAGAGTCCTAAGTGACTCGTGGACCCCACACCCTGAGCCAGCCATGCCGGGAAGGCAGGCAGGGTGGGACTTCCAGCCCTGGCTATTTCCTGCTGCTCAGAAGCAGCAGTCCCTACAGGATCCAAGCCATACATCAGGGCAAAACGAGTGGACTGTGATATCCACGGTCACGATGACAAAACACCAAAGGTAAGATATCAGAAATATGAAAAATCAAGAAAGTGCATCGCCACCAAAGGAAATTAAGAATTCTCAAGCANTTTGCCGTGTGCAGTGTGTGTAAGGTTGTGTGCAAATGAGGTCTCCTGGTTGCTTCTGTTGAGGATGCACGTCAGGTCAGCAAAGTATTTAGAGAAGAAGAGGGCAGAAAAATGTGAAAAAAAGATGACATTGAAATACCCAGAGCTCTTTTAAGTTTTTTTTTAAGTGAAAATAATATGTTATTTTATTTATTTATTTTTATTTTACTTCTCAAACTACATTGTACTTGATTTTCCCGCCCCTTTACCTGTTCCTCTTTACCTCCTACCCTCCCCCCTACATTGTATCTGTTCACTTGACTTAAGTGGTTCAAGGAATTTTTGTGGTTATTCTGTCTTCTCCCCCGCCCCACCCTTTATTTGTTTGTGTGTTTATTTATTTATGTATTTTTAGCTCCCACAACTAAGTGAGAACATGTGGTATTTCTCTATCAGTGCCTGACTTGTTTCACTTAATATAATTTTCTCTAAGTCCACCCTGGTTGTTGCAAATGGTATCATTTCATTCTTTTTTATAGCAGAGTAGTATTCCATTGTGTGGGTGAAAGACAGTTTCCATAACCACTCATCAGACGATGGACATTGGGCTGGTTCCAGCTCTCAGAGTAATCATCGGAGTTCAGGGATCCTTCAGCATGATGATTTCCATCTCTCTGGGTATATTCCCAGCAGTGGAATCTTGGTCATATGGTAGATCTGTCTGTAATTGTGTGAGGATCCTCCGTATCATTTTCCATAGAGGCTGCACCATTTTGCAGCTCCACCAACAGTGAGTGAGAGTTTCTTTTTCTCCACAAACTCTCCAGCATTTATCATTCACAGTCTTTTGGATGTTAGCCTTTCTAACTGGAGTGACATGGTATCTTAGTACGGTTTTGATTTGCATTTAACGGATGCTGAGTGATGTTGAGCATTTTCTCATGTGTCTGTGGGCCATTTGTATATCTTCATTTGAGAAAAGCCCATTCAGCTCCTCTGCCCAGTTTTTTATTTTCAGATATTTGTTTTCCTGCTGTAAGGTTGTTACAGCTCCCTGTATATTCTGGATATTGAGACCTAACTGCCTTGGGGCTCCCACACCCTGAGTCGGGTTAGCTGGAGAATGCAGGCGAGTTGGGACTTCTGGCCCAGGCTGGTCCTGACACTGGGAAAGACTTAGCCTTGGGACTCCCACACCGTGAGTCTGGTGAGCTGGAGAAGGCAGGCGAGTTGGGACTTCTGGCCCAGGCTGGTCCCGCCACTGGGAGAGACTTAGCCTTGGGACTCCCACACCCTAAGCCAGCTAAGCCAGCGGAGCTGGAGGAGGCAGGCTGGGTGGGATTTCCAGCCCAGGCCGGTCTCCACCTCAAGGAGTGACTTAAGAGACTTGGACTCCCCACACCCAAATCCAGCCCATCTGGTGAAGGCAGGCAGGGTGGGACCACAGTCCCAGGCTGTCCCAGCCATCAGGAGAGTCCTAAGAGACTCGTGGACCCCACACCCTGAGCCATCCATGCCGGGAAGGCAGGCAGGGTGGGACTTCCGGCCCTGGCTATTTTCTGCTGCTCAGAAGCGGCAGTCCCTACAGGATCCAGGCCATACATCAGGGCAAAACGAGTGGACTGTGATATCCACGGTCACGATGACAAAACACCAAAGGTAAGATAACAGAAATATGAAAAATCAAGAAAGTGCATCGCCACCAAAGGAAATTAAGAATTCTCAAGCATTAGATCCTATAGAACAGGGAGTCTTTGAAATGACAGACAAGAAATTTAGAGTAACTATTGCAAGGAAACTAAATGAAATACCCAGAGCTCTTGACAGAAATTAGCATTGAGGTCTGAGGGACTGTGGGGGGAAAAGAAGGGGCTTTTCTACTTTCCATACTCCTCTCAGCAGCAATCCTCGGGCCCCTATCCATTCCCTCCCTGTCCAACAGTGTCACAGAGAGTGGCTGATGAGTTAACTGGGGGACGTAGAGGCTGTTGTCAGAGTCCCCTTCCCCTGTTGAACACTTGTGAGCCTTGAGAGATTCATGGTTGAATTTCTCTCTTCATCTTGGGCTTCTTTTCTTTATATATATATATATTTTTTCATCCTGGGCTTCTTTAAGAGATGTCAGCCATGCACATGATTCCTCCTTATTAGGAAGTGAATCCTAGTTAATCCTCAATCAACTTTTCCTTTTCCTCCCCAGGAATCTCTCAGTAGCCAGCCCATCTGGAGAAGGCAGGCAGGGTGGAACCTCAGTCCCAGGCTGTCCCAGCCATCAGGAGAGTGCTATGAGACTCGTGGACCCCACACCCTGAGCCAGCCATGCCGGGAAGGCAGGCAGGGTGGGACTTCTGGCCCTGGCTATTTTCTGATGCCCAGAAGCGGCAGTCCCTACATGATCGAAGCCAGACATCAGGGGGAAGCGAGTGGACTGTGATATCCACGGTCACAATGACAAAACACCAAAGGAAAGGTAACAGAAATAGAAAAAATCAAGAAAGTGCATCACTACCAAAGGAAATTAAAAAGGCTCAAACACTAGATCCTATAGAACAGGTACTCTTTGAAGTGACAGACAAGAAATATAGAGTAAGTATTGTAAGGAAACTAAATGAAATACGCAGAACTCTTGACACAAGTTAGCATTGAGTGCTGAGGGACTGTGGGAGGACAAGAAGGGGCTTTTCTACTATCCATACTCCTCTCAGCAGCAATCCTCGGGCCCCTATCCATTCCCTCCCTGTCCAACAGTGTCACAGAGAGTGGCTGATGAGTTAACTGGGGGACATAGAGGCTGTAGTCGGAGTCCCCTTCCCCTGTTGAACACTTGTGAGCCTTGAGAGATTCATGGTTGAATTTCTCACTTCATCTTGGGCTTCTTTTCTTTATATATATATATATTTTTTCATCCTGGGCTTCTTTAAGAGATGTCAGCCATGCACATGATTCCACCTTATTAGGAAGTGAATCCTAGTTAATCCTCAATCAACTTTTCCTTTTCCTCCCCAGGAATCTCTCAGTTCTCCACTGTCTCTTTATCATCATGTCCTTGTCAGGCACTGATTCGTGTTAGGACCCTGAGATATAGGCAAACCTTAGCCAACCTTGATAATGGGGTCCATAAACAGGGCCACATCCTTGAATGCTAGAGGCTGAGATGGCCACAGGAGTGCTTTGCCTGTTTTTCCAGGACGGGAGCAACAGGTGAGAGATGACAGACTATTGGAACCTGGTCCGAATTCTGATCCCTCCATTGTACTTCGAGCCCCTCAACTGCTTCCTTCCTCACCAAAGGTCCTCTAAATGATTATCTGACTTGGGGGAGAAATGCAAAGAAATGACTGACTGGACCCATTTTCTCTGCATTTTTCACTTCAACTGTGCCCCTGTGGCTGGGAGAAGGTTGCAACAGATATACGGAGAGTCACATGTGGGCCATCACTTTGATTTTCTCCTCTCTCTCTTTCTCTACTTGTGTTTTGGGTCTTGAGCAATCACCTCTAGCTTCCACATGGGGCTCAGGGGCCCAGAGGTGGAGTCAGAGCTAGGAAGTCACTCACGTAGCCCCAGATGTAACTGGCATCACAAGTGCCACTTTGATTCTTTGCTTCTCTTCTGTCCTTGGCGGTTTCCTCTGAGCACTCTCAGGTATCCAAGAACTCCCTTCCTACCCAATTGAAGGGCGCATACCTGTCCCAGGAGTGCAGAAATGAGCCTTACATTACTGCCAGTATCCAGAAGAGGAGTTCTGCCTAAGGAAGCGGGGGGCATGAGGGAAGTTGGCAGTGGTCGGGCAAGTTTTGGGGGAAAGGGACTGTGTGGTAAGGTCAGAGAGGCAAACAGAGGACAGAGTCATATATCACTAAGCTCATCTGTTCTTGTGCTGTCCCCATGCAGACTCATTGTACGTCGAGCCCCTCAACTGCTTCCTTCCTCACCAAAGGTCCTCTAAATGATTATATGACTTGAGGGAGAAATGCAAAGAAACGACTGACTGGACCCATTTTCTCTGCATTTTTCACTTCAACTATGCCCCTGTGGCTGGTAGAAGTTTGCAACAGATATACGGAGAGTCACATGTGGGCCATCACTTTGATTTTCTCCTCTCTCTCTTTCTCTACTTGTGTGTTGGGTCTTGAGCAATCACCTCTAGTTTCCACATGGGGCTCAGGGGCCCAGAGGTGTAGTCAGAGCTAGGAAGTCACTCACGTAGCCCCAGATATAAGTGGCATCACAACTGCCACTTTGATTCTTTGCTTCTCTTCTTTTCTTGACGGTATCCTCTGAGCATTCTCAGGTATCCAAGAACTCCCTTCCTACCCAGCTGAAGGGCGCATACCTGTCCCAGGAGTGAAGAAATGAGCCTTACATTACTGCCAGTATCCAGAAGAGGACTTCTGCCAAAGGAAGCGGGGGGCACGAGGGAAGTTGGCAGTGGACTGGCCAGTTTTGGGAGAAAGGGACTGTGTGATAAGGTCAGAGAGGTAAACAGAGGACAGAGTCATATATCACTAAGCTCATCTGTTCTTGTGCTGTCCCCATGCAGACTTTGGGAACCAAAGCCCACAGGAGCAGCCACAAGGACCTTTTCCTGTAGATGAAGCCCAGGAACAACCCTCACTAGGACGCCCACGCAATGGACCACCCCCACTTCCTGCTGAGGGTCCACAAGGCCCCCCCCCTCCCCAAGTATTGTACCGTCTGCGTGATTCTTCTGAACCTGAAGAAGAATCTACATCTCCACCACCACCCCCACCACCAACTGAACCTGAACCTGGACCTGAACCTGAACCTCAACCTGAACCTCCACCACCACCTGAACCTGAACCTGAATATGAACGTCCACCACCTCCTCCTCCACCTACATCTCCTCCACCTTCCTCAGAAGAATCATCTGAGGATTATGAAAGTCAATGACAGGTATTGTTCAAGTTCACTCTGTCAACGTCCCTAGTTCCAGCTGCAACCGTTTATGTGCCAAGGAATCAACTGGAAAAATGTAGAAATTGCATAGTCCTAGACCCCATTGGTGACTATTTCTATGTAGAGTTTCTGGGAGCCGTCAGCATGTTCTTGTATTTTTAACAAGCTCTTGCTTCTCACAGCAGCACACTACTCCATTGTGTGGCGGTACCAGGATGTCTTTAACCCACACTGTCTATTTGATATTTAGGCTGGTTGCAGTTTTTTACTGTTGTAAATGCATGTTTCAGTGACCATCTTTGTATATATATCTCTGGACATTTTCAGTAGCAACCAAAAGACAAGCAGCCTAAGAAGAATCTTTCGTTCTTCACCTTTTAAGCAACAATGCAGAGCACGTTGTCTGCCAGGCACATAGGAAGTGGGAACAGCAAGATATCAAGAAGGAAAGGGGGATGGCAGCAGGGGACAGGGAGCGAAGGTGGGCTCTCAACTACCCACCTGTGTCACACCAGGAAGGGGTTAGAAACTTCCTGCCACATCAAGTCTTCCCTATAAACTTACTCGTTTGTTTGTTTCAGAAGGAGAAGAAGACAATGTCATTCAGAAAGCCCTGAAATTGGAACTATGTGGTCGTAACTCTATCTCCAACATACCAATAAAATAGTCTGCATCCAATTTCTGATTGCCGTCTGCCTTTCTGGGTGTTTGTGGGTGTGGATTTTGAGTGCCATGAACGCAGTGGAAGAACGTCCAGGACCCCTGGCACTGATGTACCCGGCAAGCTTCCCTCCTCCTGTGCCATAAGCCAGCTGCCAGGTGACAGAGTTCCAGTGTCCCCCTTCCCTGGCATCTATAGCACAAATGCATTTTCTAAGTCATTGTTTTCAGACCTTTTACAGACATTCTTGTTGTTTTATGGAAACAAGAAACAAGGAGAAATAAGATGAATGTGGAGTGACTGAGGAATCCTTACCATGTCCAAAATAATAGGTACTAGTTTCTGGGGATATAAATGTCCTGGCAGGGGTCTTTTCCCTGAAACTCAGTATTCTCTTTTCCTCTAGTTCATCCCTCCTCAGTTCTGTACTTCCCCATATCCCTCACCATTTTGAACCAAAACAGTGTGGATTTCATAAAGATCAGGGAATTTGATGTCAAACCCTATTCTGATCAGAAACTACAGGAAAATTGCCATTATTGCAAGTTCAGTGACCAAATTTGACTGCAGAAGCTTACTGAATGTTGAATACCAAATAAACATATGAGACACGGAAAAATTTGATAAGAACCTCTGCCCTGTCACCTCACACTCTCACCTCCAAAATCTAGGGACACGGCAAATTTTAGTATCTAATTTTTATATGATTATAGTACGTGTCAGTCATAATATTTACATTTCCTGAGATACAGAAAGCGTAAGAAATATTTGAATTCATTGTGTAAGGTGCATTAAACAACATATATAGGATTGCGAAAATATTCCATCAGGGAAAATACTCAAGAGTATGTAAAGAAATTAACAGTGGGCTTAACGAATGATGTCCCGTGGTGAAAGTGGATTGCAGGAATGGTTCAATATCAGGAAATTGGCCACACCCTACCCATGGCCTCATTTTACTATGCAATTCAAATAAACCCAAAGAGAATAATCTCCCCATTGTCATCACCTTGTTGACTGACACACATGCAACTGTAGCCATGTTCTCTTGCTGTTGTCCTCGGTGAGCCTCCTTGCCTTTATCTTTCACTGTCACGGTGGCTTCCATACCGTACTGTCTAATGAAAGATTTTGCCTCTTTCCTTCCACACTGTTTGTGTGACTCCGTTAGTGCAAAATTCCTTGAGAAGCTTGTCTGTAGGTATTGCCCCCACTGCCTCACCTCCCTTTTTTGTTTTCACACGTTCAATAGAGGCTTCTACACTCCCCTTACTTCTTCTGTCAGGGTCATCCTAGGCTTTCATATTCTACCAAGTTCAAGAGTCAGTTCTCAGTCATGGATCTCACTTGACCTCTTTATATTTGATAGAGTTGGGATACATTCGTCCTTTATAGCTCACACTGAAATCTTTATCCCCACTGTGACAAGGTGATGAGTTTGTGGGATGTCATTGTGGTCATTTGAAGATGGCCCTGGAGAGGTGATTTGATTGTGAGGACTGTACTCTAGGGAATGGATTAATCCACTCTTATAGCTCACACTGAAATCTTTATCCCCACTGTGACAAGGTGATGAGTTTGTGGGATGTCATTGTGGTCATTTGAAGGTGGCCCTGGAGAGGTGATTTGATTGTGAGGACTGTACTCTAGGGAATGGATTAATCCACTCTTGGTTTAATGGTGGTCATAGGTGTGGTTCTGATAGCTTCAAATGTTAAATGTATGAGAAGTTGTCTCACTCTCTCTCTCCTCCTGCCATTCTCACCGTGACACCATGCATTGATGTGAAACTCACTACGATCCAACGAGGCCCTCAGTAGATGAGTGACCTCGACTTTGGACTTCCCAGTCTCGAAAACTATGACTGATCAATACCATTTCTTTCCAAATTACCCCATCTCAGATGTTTTTGTTATAGGCAACAGAGATGACTAATACATCATTGATCCCATGATGTTTCTTGGAACATCTTCTCATAACCTTCAGGGACTTCATATTTTCTGCATCTCTGCTTCTTACTCCTGAACCCACTAACTTATTCTACCCCCGGTTCATCTCTTTCTCAATGAATAGCATCTACATTCATGTATTTGCTGAAGCCAACTAGGAATCATGGGCTCCTCTCTTCTGACACATCTTAGTGTCTGTTGAACTATAGCAACATCCTGCTATTTTAAAGTTTTACCTTCAAACCAAATCTCAACTGCAACTGCTTTTCACCATATGTATTAATGGCCCATGTAAGCCAGCCTCATTTCTAGCTTTGTCAAATAATGATTCTACTCTAGCCTTGACTATCATTTCCCACTGTAACCAATTTAAATACATTTTTAACTTTTTCTCAAAATTTTCCCATGGACTGCAAACTGTCAGTTTAATTGCTTAAGAAAAAATCCAAAATATATTAGTGTAGCTGAGGCACTACAATATGGGGCTCCTGTCTAGATTTGATTGTATTGATTCTCTCTACCTATTTGACGTAACACTAACTACTCTGGCCTTCTTAATAATCCTCCAATATATCAAGCTTTTTCCTACCTTTCTAAAGCATACTTTGTCATTTTATTCAAACTGCTCATGTGTCAGCCCCTTGAGTCCTTCTCTGAATACACAAAACCTCTCAATATCTTTACCCTGCTTTGTTTATCAACATAATGGTCACTGTGAGTCAGCCAGCATCCCAAATCCCTGCCTCCTGGGATTCATACTCTTGTGCACTTCCTGATCATATTATATCTGGATCAGGGTGTGTGACCAATTGAACATGCCAGAAGTGGTTGAATGTCACTTTTGAGATTAAGTTGTAAAATAAACTGTGGTTTTAATTTTTGTTTTTCAGTTTCTTCACTTGTCTCTCTCTCCTCCTCCATCTCTGTCTTTGTCTCTAATCCCTTTCTTTGGAAATAGTCAGCTGCCATGTTCAGGATGTCAAAGGACAGGACATGCATCCAAGTGATACTCTTAGAGTCTCGGACATTTGCTGTCATCATGGGAAAGTGTGTACAGTACAGGAGAAAGAAAAGCCTCCCAACTGCAATCCTTCATAATCCAATTGACCCCTATCACAACCTGACTCTCTTCAATTTGTTTCTAACATGGACTGTGCTGGATTGATTTGTGTTTTCCTGGAAATTCCCTTTTCTGCTCTGAAATAGTATGTAGTATCTTGAGTTAACACATATATTTTCCTTCTTTCTTCCTTTTTTTTTTCTCATGAGTCACATAGTAACACAGCTTCCTGTAATTGATTTTACCAGAGGCAAAAGCTTTCAAGAACTTTTCGGTCTGAAAATATGTTTAGTCTATCTTCACAGTTGATTTTACCATCTCACTAGAAATACTGGGTTCTAGGTTGATGATCATTTCCACGCAGAAGTATTATGACCCTGTTCCACTGTCTTCTGACTTGTAACATTCCCCTGTCATTCTGAGTCTTTTTTCACTGTGGATGAGCTTTTGTCACTGGAATCTTCAGGGTCCTCTTTGAATTCCTGCAACTTAATTAGGTTGACATTGATGTGGGTCTAGTTTTGTTGATTGTGTTGGGTATGCAGTATTCTGAGAGAGGCTTTTATCCTGGGCCCTGCACTTTAGAAGGGGCCCCACACCCACACACCAAAACCTAAGGTATGGTTCAGTCCTTTTACCCTCATTATAAAATATTTTAAAAGTTTAGCAAGGTAATAAAAAGATAAGTTATGGAAGAGGTGCACAGGCTGAAGAAGGGTTTTCCAGACTTGTGGATGCAGAATTGAGAGTTTGTACAGGAAATAAATTCACATCCTCTGCTCTGGGGCATGAGAAAAGGGGTTGGTTTTGTTTAGAGTTATTCACCTCCAATCAAACAATGAGCACATGGAGCCAGACACATTCACCCTCTCCCACCATAACCACACTCCCTGCCACTTCTTTGCTCATTAGTGTAGTTTGGGGACTTTGTAAAATGTCCTGCACATCCTAAATCAGAAGTGAAGCATTGAAAGAGATCTCCTTACACCCTCATAACATACTGTTTCTGCTTCTGTAGAATTGCTTGCTTAACCTAAGTAACTTCATTTTGCCCCCTGTCTGACCTGCAGACTACCCCCCCTTCTGCATGAGAAACTGTTGACTTTCTCATAGAAACAAAAGCCATTGCATAGAAACAGGAGCCATACACAGTAAACGATTACATGGAAACAGGAACCATTCACAGTGGACTATTACATGGGAGCATATACAATGAAAGTTGTATGCTTGCTGCTCTAACGGCTTGTTCTTGGCTTCTGTGACCTAGCTCCCTAGCTTGCTTTGTACACCTGGACAAACCTGTATGCCAAGAGGATGTAGTTTTTGC